AACCAAGGTGCAGAGATGGATTTCAAGTGTATACAGCTAACTGACCATTGGTGTTATTCAGACTGTTATTTGAAAAATTCACCTAAAAGCTGAAATTATTAGCAAAAAAAAAAAAAAGATTTCTTGTTGATAGTCATTAGACTAGGAAAATGGTATGCCATCTGAAGGTGCTGTTTTATTCCTTCCCTCCTCCCTCACAATCTACTTTAGCTCTTCCAATTCTGTGCTGTCGGGGCTTCCCCAGCTTCCTCCTGACCTGGAGCTGGATGACCAGGAGATATCGACACAAGTAAAAGTGGACATTAACTTTGTGGGATTACCAACTCTCAAAGCTCCCAAGCATCTTTCCTCTCCTGTAAAGGACATTCTTTTTAAAGAGGAAAATACACTTTTTCATTCTTTAAAGATAGTCTCTACATGGTATTGTTTGAGACATTATATTTATCTAGTACCTGTCTATTAAAGTATGTATGGATAATGTGTTATCATTTCCATAATTTGTACTATGGTTGACTGAGTTATTTGTATAGGGTAAAGGGTAAAAAAAAGTGGAATCATTAGGGTTTTTTGTTTGTTTGATTTTTTTTTAAGATTCTATTTTTTTAGAGCAATTTCAGGTTTGATCTCTTTTTTACACTTATTAATAATTTGGGGTGTAACTCTTACAGTTAAAATGTCAAGTATGGATATACCTTTTATATTTAACTGGAGTGGTGGCTGTAACTTATTATGTTCTCCCTTACTGTTGCTGATTGAATTGTGTGACAATAGTTTTTAGGTGCATTAGATAAAGTAGAAACGTGACTTGGTCATAACTGGAGCCACCATCTGTTGCTTTAAACAAAAGATCTTACCAGATGCATGTGTTGGGAGTTACGTGGGTCACCAGTGGTAGACCATTGGTAGCATTGCTGCAACCAGAACCTGGTTTGGTGGAAGAAAAATTTTGGCTTTCCCACCTTCGATAAAAGAAACATTCTTTAGGCATTTGGTAGATGGAAAGAGAGAAATGTATTTCTTCTCCATCCTTTTTGGTATATCACAAAATTGAGGTAACCAAAAGTTATGGAGGTTTGGAGGGAGGGTGCTGGCATTGTCCCAGAATTGGAGATAACAGGAACAGAAGGATTTTTCTGGCTAAATGGGGCTGGTTAATGCAAATTGACTAACTTGTTTTTTAATTACTAAGAAGTTTGCCTTGAAGTTTCTGTTCAGCATTGCCTTGGCTGGTGTGGTTTAGTTGGTTGGATGTCATTCTGTGCACTGAAAGGTTGCCCATTTGATTCTGGGTCAGGGCATATGCCTGGGTTGTGAACTGGATCTTTGGTAAGGGGGCATGCAGGAGCCTATCATTGTTGTGCTCTCACATAGGTGGTTCTCTCTCCTTCCTCTCTCTCTAAAAATCGATAGAAATATTTTTAAAAAGGTAAGCATTTATTAGCTACTTTATTTAATATGTGTATTAAGTATCTGCTATATGCAAGTACAATAAACATTGTGGGGATTTTTTCTTTTTGGTTTTGTTTTTCCTTTTTATTTAATTTATTTGGGTGACAGTGGTTAACAAAATTATACAGGTTTCATGTACATGATTCCACAACACATCATCTGTACACTGTATTTTGTGCTCACCGCCACAAGTGAAGTCTCCTTCCATAACCATTTATCCCCCCATACCCTCCTCCACCTCCTACCATCCCCTGCAGTCACCACACTGTTGTACCTGTCCATGAGTTTTTTCTCTTTTTTGCTCAATCACTGCACTTCCCCACAAGCCCCCATCCCAATGTTATCCTGTTCTCTATAAGTCTTTCTCTGTTTTTCTTGTTAGTTCGTTTTGTTCATTAGATTCCACATATGAGTGAAATCATATAATACTTGTGTTTCTCTGAATGGCTTATTCACTTAGTATAGTGCTCTCCAAGTCCATCCATGCTGTGGCAATGGGTAAGATTTCCTTCTTTTTTATGGCCCAGTAGTATTCCCTTGTGTAAATGTACCACAGCTTTTTTTTTTTAATCCACTTATCTACTGATGAGCACTTGGGTTGCTTTTAAATCTTGGCTTTGTAAATAACACTGCAATGGACATGGGGGAGGGTGGCATATATTCTTTCCAATTAGTGTTTGGGATTTCTTTGAATATATTCCCAGAAGTGGAATCACTGGGTCATAAGGCAGTTTTATTTTCATTTTTTTAGGTAACAATCTGCATCATAAGGCAAGGCTACGATGGGGGCGTGGGCAAGTGAGATAGTAATTGGCAATAGGGTAAGAATTGTAATGTTGCTATTATACTGGCCTCAAAGGTCTCATCCAAGTGGACTAATTTAAAATCTGATTTGGAGATAGCAGCCCCAGGTCTTGGTGAAAATTAGGGTGGATGAATGATGATGCCATGGATTCAGATGGGAAAGGATGTATTAATTAAAAGTAGAACTTAAAAGAGTGGCTCAGTGGCTGAGTGTCAACCTATGAACCAGGAGGTCATGGTTTGGTTCCCAGTCGGGGCATATGCCTGGGTCTTCTACCAAGATTATTTAATCCTCACAACCACTCTATTACTGTAACTACTTTCACTTTATAAAGAACTTACATCTTAGAGGTAAAGTAACTTGTCTGGTTACACAGCATTAAAGAGTTGGAGGAACATTTGATAGTATAATGATAGTTTATAGTGCTGTGGGAATTTAAAACTGGGTAAATCTGGCTTCAAGAGCCCTCGTTCTTGACCACTGGACTGTCCCCTCAGCTATGATCTTATGATTGTACTATGATCCTCAGTACCATGGTCTTGGTCTGAACACTGAGCAATGATCTGAACTCTTAGGCTTCTGAGTCAGATTATAGCATGCTTTTCTACTCATATATGCTATTTTACTTTTAAAAGTTCTAATTATATTATTATGAGCATTTTTTAAAAATATATTTTATTGATTTTTTACAGAGAGGAAGGGAGAGGGATAGAGAATTAGAAACATCGGTGAGAGAGAAACATCCATCAACTGCCTCCTGCACACTCCCCACTGGGGATGTGCCTGCAACCAAGGTACATGCCCTTGACCGAAATCGAACCTGGGACCCTTGAGTCTGCAGGCCGACGCTCTATCCACTGAGCCAACCCGGTCAGGGTTAGTATGAGCATTATTATAAAACATATACTATTATAATGGGATGCTGAGATATGTGTATATTAAGAGTAAAGAAATGCAAATTTATAGATACAATTGAATGCCTTAAACAAGAATCTTTACCTGGCCCAGCCAGTGTTGCTCAGTGGTTGAGCATCAACCTTTGAACCAGGAGGTCACAGTTTGATTCCTGTGGGTTGCGGACTCGATCTCCAGTAGGGGACATGGAGGAGGCAGCCAATCAATGATTCTCATCATTGATGTTTTTGTCTCTTTCTCCTTTCCCTTCTACTCTGAAATCAATAAAAATATATATTTTTAAAAAAGAATCTCTTTGGTTCATCATTGCTTAGGACCGTAATGTTCCTCAGACTTGGAAATAATTCTTTTGAATCTTTTTGAAGTAAGACCCCATCTCCTATATTGTAAAGTTTTGTGCAGTAGGTCATCAAAGGCCTCCAGGGTTCGTTCCCCTACTGTTATGAATTCCATTTACCCTAAGTAAAGAAGTGGCCTTGTTTTTTCCTTTTAGCTTTGTGTTTTTCAACCTTTAGTATACTCAGGTAATTTAATTAATTATTTCTGGCTACACATTAGAATGACCTTAGGGAATCCTTTTGAAAAATACTGATGCCTTGGCCTTGTCATAATCCATAAAATCAGAATACTTGGAGATCGGGGCCCTGGCATCAGAAATTCTTTCTTTTTCTTTCATGCTTTTAAGGCCAATGATCCATGATGGGTTTTAGATCTTGCTGAAAGCAGCCATAGTCATTGACTGCACAAAGCCCTCAAAAGCCATGATCCGCTCCTCCAGTGCATCTGTTTCAACTATCTTCTACTGTACACTGCATTTGAAGTTTTTAAATTCCATACCCCACAGGAACCAGTTTAGAAGAGCCCCAGTCCAAGCTGTCTGCTTGAATGCTCCTGACACAATGCTCTACTTTTGCTATATCTGACTTGTCATCCCAAAGTTTCACATCTAATAAGATGGAAGACTTGGCAAAGAGAAGCTTTTTTGGCTTTCTTTGACTCATACTGTGCAAGGTGTTCTTCTCTTAGCCTCTTCACTTGTTTACTTTGCTTTCCTCATCAGATCCAAAGAGATCACTGTCATAATTGTTTTTACTGTCTGTAGCTCCACTTCCTGTGGTATCTTCCACATTAGCAGGGCCATATTTGCTCAGAGCTTTCTTTACTCCTGACAAGCTGGCCTTTTCCTTTTCATAAGACTTGATGTGATGATTATACCAATGTGGGGGATGATACAAGTAGGTGCTGGGCTGGAGACTGCTTCAAATACTGCAGCATCTGTGATGGCACATACCCCTCGCTGTAGCTCTTGTCCCCCAGGTAGTCGTTGAGCATCTGGAGGTTGGTGGGACTTCTCAGGTCTCCAAAACCCATAGTGTAGACTGACCTGGGAAGGTGGGGGCAGTAAAGGAAAGAGGAGTGCAGTCAGTCTTGACAAGCACTAAGAGGGGAAAAAAAGGGCATCGGCAATTCTGATGTGTAGCCAGGAATGTCTGTTGTCACCTGGTACTTTACTTCAAATTTTGTCTTAAAGTCTACTTTGTCTCAGTGTTACTGTAGCCACTCCAGTTGTCTTTTGGTTACTGCTTTTCATGGTATATCTTTTTCCATCCTTTTAACTTCCTTTGTCTTTAATTCTAAAGTGTGTCTCTTGTAAACAGCATATATTTGTATCATGTTTACATGGTCATATTTGCATGAATCTAGTTATGTAAAAAATGATATAGAAGTGTAATTGCTTTGGAAACAGAAAAGAGCAAGTATCTAACTTTTTTCCAGGACATATCAAAGCATCACTGTAGTCATTATGGAAATTTGAATGGTTGAATAGGAGATGAAAAAGCATTCCAGGTAGGGAACAGCATGGGAAAACTCATAGAAGTGTGAAATATTCTGTATTGTCCAGTCAATTGTTAACTTTAGGCATTATGTTTCTAAAAGATTTATGGTTGAGGAACTTTAGACCATGTGAGAAAATTAGATTGGGACACATGAGTTATAAATACCTTGAAGTCTTTTCTTTTTTTAAAATGTTTTTACTGACCTTGGAGAGAGAGGAAAGGAAAGGGAGGGAGAGAGAGAGAAACATCAATCCAGTGCCTCCTGCATGCTCCCTACTGGGGATTGAGCCTGCAACTTGGGCATGTGTCCCCGCCTCAGGACCTCTTGGTGCTTAGGTCAGTGCTCAACCAATGAGCCACACCAGTCAGGCCTGAAATTTATATTTCTGATACTAAAATTTTTTGAGTTGTTGGAAAAGCAGAATGGGCAGCTTGAGGATAGGGAAATCAGCTAGAGGTTGTTATAATATTACTAGAGGCCTCTTGCAATCCGGGACCCCTGGACTTTTTGGCCATCTCTTCTTTTCACAATAAAATGAACTATTAACTCCTCACTCTCTAAGTCAGAAACTTAGAAATCATACTAAACTCTTCTTACTCAAAGACCCTTCACATCAATTCTACCTACAAAATCTCAGATTTAGCCTTTCTTCTCACTCCCCACAGCCTTTGCCCCAATTCATATCTCACCAGTCTATATATATAAAAGCCTAAGCAACTGAACGACCGAATGACAGAATGACCAGTAGCTATGACACACACTGACCACCAGGAGACAGATGCTCAATGTATAGGATCGGGCTCCCTCCTGTCTGGATTGGGCCTGTGGTGGTTGGACTCCCTCCTATCTGGATCAAACCTGCGGGGATAGGGCTGAAACCGGCTATCCGACATCCTCTAGGGCTTATGGAGAATGGGTGTGATTTCCTATTTTTAAAAATTCAGAATTCTAATAAACATATACAAGCACTATTTGAAGAACTAGCTGTGTTAAGTTTATAGCTCACTAAAAGCTTACTTTGAATAAACAGATTAAGGCAAATCTAATCTTATTTTACCGCTTTTTTGTTTTTGTGAATTATTTAAGTTGCTATACATATGTAAAATGTATATTTAACATTTTGTTAAGGGCAATTTTTAGAGTACATTATTCATGTACTTAAGGTAATTAACTTTATTAAACTATCTTGGCATTGGTGTTTAATTGTATTCTTTCATAAGTAAAGCTTTTTTAACTGAGGTATTTTTTAAAATTTTCTTATAATTTTAGAGATTGTTGTGTTCTTCTGGTTAAAGATTTGGTAGTTTGTTGAATATTCTTTCTGTTTCCCCCCTCCCTACAAAGAAATGGAACTTCAAATTGAAATGCCATTCTCAATTGAGAACAGATAGGTAAAATATATTGTGTGGATTGAGTACCTTATATAGATGGGAAGTACATAAGTAAATGTGTGCTGTTTGTGTAGGTTGATTGCTAAATAATTCTTGACTAATTTGAAAGATTCTTTATCAGAAATATTTGAGTTGAATTCCATATCAGGTGTGACTTTCTCCAACTGATATACATGGTGTTAGACACTATGTGGTAACTCAAACCTGTAATGTTACTTGAGTTATAATTAAAGTCTGGTCTCAGGCCATTTAATTAGTGAAGTCCATGTCTTGAAAGACAAAATGTTAGCACTTAAAGAAATTATATATATTTCTTAAGCTAGAATTATCAATAATGTAAATAATCTGCCTATAAGGAAATTAATATTGGGAGATTTTCTCTAAGGTTGATACTAGAGCACAGTAAATTGCTTTAATAACTGTAATTTACACAAAGCAATATAAGAATCTTAATAGGCTCCCTCCCTGACCCTGCCTCTCAGTCCCACACTCAACCTGCCATATAGTAACTACCTGGGATTTTAGTTCCATTTTGTCCTTCATTTATTTGTATGTTCTTCAACAATGATTTAAATTAAACTATGTTTTAACAGTTTATTTGCTCACCATTGTTTTTGATTCCCACATTTTCTCTTAGATTAATTCTTTTGCTATATTACATTCTTTTTTCAAACAGGGTTTCTAAGTGGTGAACTTTGAGTTCTTGCATGTCTGAAAATATATTTATTTTGCCCCCTTTTCTGAGTGCCCATTTAGATTGAATACAGTTTTCCAGTGTTCAAATAACTTCCCCCCAGAACTTTGACAATATTGCTCTTTTATCTTCTAGCATCCACTGTTGCTGATGAGAAATCTGTCAATCTGATTCTTGTTCCTTTGTAAGTGAGTTTCTTTTCTTTCCTGAAAGATTTTCATGGCTTTTTTTTTTAATCCCTGAAGTTTTGAACTTTTTTAGGATGTTCCTTTTCTTTCAATATCCTTGCTTTTGCTTTTACAAATTACAGATTTATTTAAAGTCCTCTGGGTGTTACTGCTGTTCTGATTCTCTTTCCTCCATTCCCACAGGCAACCACTGTCCTCCATTTTGGAGTTTATTATTCCCACGAACAGTTTTATACTAAGAGTATATATTTATGTATCCATAAATGATACATGATATGGGTTTACATGCTTTAAAACTTTATATGTAAATGGTATAATACTGTACTCATTCCTCTACAACATCCTTTTTCCCCCTTAAACACTGTTTTTGAAATATACTCCTGTTGGTGCATGTTATTTTAGTTCTTTACTTTAACTGCTGTATAGTATCCTATTACATGAAAATACTGTAATTTTTTTAAAAAATTGAGTATTTAGGTTTATTTTGTTTATTTTTGTGCTGTTAAGAGAAATGCTGTAATGACCTTTCTAGTGGTTTTGCCTAGAGGGGGAATTGCTGAGCTGAAGGTATATATTAGCCTTAGTATAGCCAGATTGCTCTTGGCTTTATCAGTTTATACACTGCCAGCAGTGTATGAGGGTTCCCATTTATCTAGATAGTCAACACTTGGTATTATTAGATTTTTAAGTTTTTGATAATGTGGTTATGAATTAGTTTCTTATTGTTACTGTGATAAGGTTGAACATTTTTTCATGTTTTTCCAGCCATTCAGTTTTCCCTTCTGTGAATCATCTTTTTAAAACAGCCTTCCCCATTTTCTTTGTGGTTATCTGTTTTCATTGTTTGTAGCATTTCTTTATTTTGATGTTAGTTCTTTGTCATTTTTATTTGCAATGTAAATATCTCAATATTGCTTACCATTTTTACTATTTTTATAGTATTTCCTGTTGACCCAAACTTTAAAATGTCAGTGTAGTATAATTGTCCATCTTTTATTTATTTATTTATTTATTTACAATTACACTTTATGCTGTTTAAAAAAAAACCCTTTTTATGATTCTGAAGACTCTCATCTGTATTTTCTTCTAAAAGTTTTGTTTTTCAAGTTATAGCCTTAAACCTGCTGGAATTTAATTTTGGGTAATGTGTGAGGTTTTTTTCCCCTTCACTAATTTGTAATGCCACCTCTCATATACCAATTTCCATGTATGTGTGGGCCTATTTCTAGGCTCTCTATTTGTTACATTGATGTTTTCTTAACCACATGGTTTTATTTACTATAGCTTTAATTTAAGTCATTCTATCTGATAAGGCAAGTTCTACCTTGTTTTTGTTTTTTGAAAAGCTTTTGGTTATTTCCTGCCCTTATTTCCTGTCTCATTAGAATTTTAGAATCACCATATCAAATTTTACAAAAATTCTTGGTTGGCTTTTATTCTGACACCAACTGCAATACGATTCAATTTTGACTCTAGCCACCTGAAACTAGAGTCAGATTCCACAGGTGGAAAGGTACAGTCACCAATAAGACAGCCCCCATGTCAGATGCCAGCTGTAAGTTCCCGTGACTCCCTTCAGGTTTGATAATTTGCTAAAACTACCCACAGAACACAATAAAGTGCTGTTTTTATGATTATGGCTTTATTTAAAGGATACAAATTAGGACCAGCCAAATGAAGAGACATATAGGGCAAAATCTGGGAAGGTCTCAGCATAGGGCTTCCATGCACTCTCCCTGTGGAATCAGGCGCATCACCCTCCCAGCACATCAATGTATTCACCAGTCTGGAACCTCCAGTGACCTTCGGTTGTAGCAGAGTTTTTAGTGGAGTTTTGGCCATGTGATTGAACTCAACCTCCTGTCCCTTTCCCCTCCACAGAAGTGGGGCTGATATCATGTGGCTCAAAACCCCAACTTATTGGTCTTTCTGGCATGACTAGTCCCTGTTCTTGAACCCTTACATTTTTCTGGGATAAATCCCACTGGGTCGTTTTATGAAATTTCTTTAGTATGTAGCTGGATTCAGTTTGCTTGTATTTTGTTCAAGATTTTTGTGTCTATATTCATAAAGGATATTTATCTATAGTTTTCTTGTGATTTCTTTGTCTGTTTTGGTATCAGGGTAATGCTGGCCTCCTAGAGTGAGTTGGGAAGTATTGCATCCTTTTCTGTGTTTTGGAGGCGTTTGAGGATTGGTGTTAATTCTTCTATAAATATTTGGTAGAATTAACCGGTGAAGCCATCTGGTCCTGGGCTATTCTTTGGGGTAAGTTTTTTGATTACTGACTTAATCTTTTTATTTGAATACCTTCTGGGTATTCAGATTCTGTATTTCTTGAGTAACTTTTGGTAGTTTCTAGGAATTTGTCTGTTTCATTTAGGTTATCTAATATGTCAGCATTCATTTGTAAATAGTATTTTCTTACTAATTCTTTTATTTCTGTAAGGTCATTAGAATATTCCTTTTATTCCTGACTTAAGTAATTTAAGTCTTTTTTCTATTTTTCTTCATTAATCAAGCTAAAGGTTTGTCACTTCTGTTCTTCTTTTTAAACAACCAACTTTTGGTTTCATTGAGTATGATTTTATTTATATTAAATTTCCAAATTAGGCAAATCCATAGAGACAGAAAGTAGATTAGTGGTTGACATGGATTGAGGTGGGGAAATTGGAAGGAATAAGATTTATTTCTGGGTTGATGAAAATATATCATAATTAGGGTTGATGGTTGCACAATACTGTATATATACTAAAATCCATTGAATTGTAAATGCTTAAAATGGTGGGTTTTATGTTATGTAAATTTTATTTCAGTAACATTTTTTCCCCCAAGAGTTAATTGTCTATAATAGGTCTATTTCTGGATCCTACATTCTGTTTCAGTGATCTGTTTGTGTATCTTGAGGCCAGTTCTCATTGCCTTGACTTAAACTCTAGCTTTGTAATAAGTCTTGAAGTCAGATAATTTAAGTCCTTCAACTTTATTCTTTTTAAAAGGTGTTTTAGCCCTGACCGGTTAGGCTTAGTGGATAAAGTGTCGGCCTGCGGACTGAAAGGTCCCAGGTTCGATTCCAGTCAAGGGCATGTACCTTGGTTGTGGGCACATCCCCAGTGGGGGGTGTGAGGGAGGCAGCTGATCGATGTTTCTCATCGATGTTTCTAACTATCCCTCTCTGTAAAAAAATCAAAATATATTTTTTTAAAAAAGGGTGTTTTAGCTATAATAGGTTCTTTGCATTTCCATATGAATTTTAGACTAAGCTTACAAATTTCTACATAAACGTTTCCTGGAACTTTTATTGGGATTATGGTGAATCTGCAGATGAATTTGGGGAAAATTGACACCTTAAGATATTGAGTCTTCTGATACATGAGCCTGGTACATTGCTCATTTATTTAGGTTTTATTCAGTTTTTCTTAGTATTTTGCAGTTTTCACTGTATAGGTCTTCTACATCTCCTGTCACATTTATTCCTGAGTATTTTATGTTCCTTCCTCTTTGCCTCTTTACCTAGATAGCAGCTGGGGCAATTGTAGGGTTGATCTTTGTTTCTCATCTTTCATATATCACTGTTCACTGTCTTTTGTTGCCTCTTGTATAATGTCTTAATTGCCATTGTTTCATATATTTTGTTTCATGTTGTTTCAGGCAGGTAAGGTAAATATAGTCCCTGTTACTCCATATTTACTAGAGACATAAGCCCATTACTTTTTTCACTGTCATTTTAAGGGGTTTGGGCAGCAAGGTCAGCTTACCATCTTGATGTAATGTATCTCTGTCATTCTACTTTTAGAGAATTAAAATTATGGGTCCCTTTTATTGCCCACCTACTGTATGCTAAATCTTCTCTGTCTTATGAATAAAACTTTCATGGAACTTACATTCTAGTGGTCTCCAACATTACATGGTGAACATAATGTCTGCTTACATGAAATAGGAAATATATGCTTTCCTTAAGGGTTCATTGGCTTGAATGAATCACAACCAAGCCATTTAAAATATGTTAAAACTAGAGGCCCGGTGCACGGATTCGTGCACCAGTGGGCCCCTCGGCCTGGCCTTTGTCCTCTGACAATCCAGGACCCCTCAGGGGATGTCAGAGAGGCAGTTTTGGCCCAATCCCCAAGGGACTCCACGGGTGCACGATTATAGCCACCGACCTGGGAGGGACCATGGGAGATTGGCTGACTGAGGAGGGACCAAGGGAGGGCTCCAGGACAGGTCCGGCCCATCTGGCCGAGTCCCGATTGGCCGAACCCCAGCAACAAGCTACCCTGCCAGTTGTAGCGTCTGCCCCCTGGTGGTCAGTGAGCGACATAGCGACTGGTCGACCGGTCGAATGGTCGGACACTTAGCATATTAGGCTTTTATTATATAGGGTACCAGTTTTAAATTTAAATAAATATACATCTATTTGCCAAAATGTCGAATAGGCTAGCAATGACATTGTATCATTACCTTTATATGAAATATTCTCACCTCAGTGTGGTAAATTTTTTTACCATGCTGATCAGATATTCTGATTGATAGATAATAATAACCTGGCTAAGTAAAACACAGGATAATTTAATAATTAAGTTTGGTAGTTTGGTCAACCAAATCCCATGCAGTATCTCTGGTGAGAAATAATGGGAAACAATGTGGTATAGAGTTTTTTTAATTGTTGAAAGTATTACAGATGGTCCCCTCTTCCCCTCCCCCCAGTGAACCCTTCCACCTTGCTCCTCCCTCTGGCCCCCCAGGCCTTCACCACACTGTTCTCCATGTCCATGGGTTATGCATATCCTATCTAATAATAGACAAACATGGTAATTGACCGTACCTTCGCTATGCCTCCCATAGGCTAATCAGCGAGATATGCAAATTAACTGCCAACAAAGATGGCGGTTAATTTGCATATGTTGGCACAAAGCGGCGGAGGGAAGACTGAAGGCGGCTCTGGCCGGAGCAGCAAAGGCTTGAAGGCGGCTCCAGCCAGAGCGAAGGCCTGGGTCCCGGGTGCCAGAGGAAAACCGGTGCCAGCAGCCAGGGGAAGGGAAGGCCTATTGCATGAATCTTTTCGTGCAACGGGCCTCTAGTATGCATATAAGATCTTTGGTTAATTCCATCCCCTCCCCCATCCCTGCCTTGGTATAGGGTATAGATTTTTTAAAATGGATTTTACTGTTAGCTGGTTTAGAATCTTAACCTTTCCACTTGATATTTGTGTCACCTGGGAAAGGTATTAACTTCTGATCTTCATCAAAATGGAGACAATAATATTTATCTTTAAAGTTGTTTTAAAGGATCTGATATTAGCCTCCGCCCCCCATTTTCTTGAAATGTTAAAAACCAGTATATGATATGCCTGTTGTTTCTTTTTAGATAGTTCATGTATAAAAATAGATACATTTTTGAAGTTGTACAGTTGTTGTTTTTTTAATTGTTTTATTGCTTAAAGTTTTACAAAGAGTATTATATATGTCTCCTTTTTTTTTTCTCCCCTTGACCTTCCCCTAGCCTCCCATACCCCCCAGTGTCTTGTGTCCATTGGTTATGCTTATATGCATGCATACAAGTCCTT